AAAAGAAAGGAAGGAAGGAAGGAAGGAAGGAAGGAAGGAAGGAAGGAAGGAAGGAAGGAAGGAAGGAAAACATCTGGATGGTCTACACTACATTCAAAACACCAATAAACACCTTCCTAGACAAAAGATGCTAAGTACACAGTGGTGTACTGTCCTGCAGAGCTGAAAGCCAGGAGAAAGAATTGGATGTTCAGCTCCTAAGTTAATAAGGACTGAGAGAGTTCCACAAGATCTTGGAACCAGGGTCCAAGGAGCAGAGCTTGCCTGATCATCAAAGAGGTCAAAGGAAGCAGCTGCTACCTGCTACCCGAATTTCATAATAAGTACAGTTAGTGGTTGGGGAGGAGGGAGATGCAGACATAGCCTCACAAGCAGAACCTGAGCTAAGTTGTCTGTGATTTCCCCCATGCCACTGTGGGTGGCCCACCTATGTACACTGGTTCTGGACTATATGGAGTCAAGTGCAAAACTGATTTATGGGAAGAGACAGACAGACAGACCCCCCTCCACACACACACACACACACACACACACACACACACACACACACACCAGACTAACTTCCTAAATAAAGTAAGTGTGCAAATCACTTTAATTGACAAAAACTGACAGTAAAGGACAGAAAACAAAATCAGGAGATGAATTCACTTTAGATGAAACTAAACTAATAGGACAGTGTGGCCAACACTGTAAACGTGTGCTTAATCTGCAAAGAAACAGGTGAAAGAATAACATCCTTAAATTTAATGGAGATTGAGAATGTGGCTCAGTGGTATATCCCTTGCCAAGCATACATAAAGCCCTGATCGTTAATACCACTATGAAGGGAAAAAAAAAGTGGAGGGGAGACAATATTAAAAAAGAAAAAGGGTAAAACAAAAAGTAAAAAGATGCTGAAATAGAAAACTAAGAAATTTTGGATATAAAAGTTTTGGAAAAAAAAAACTCCTAATAAAAAAATTATAGATGGGGGATGGAGAGGTGGCTCAGCAGTTAAGAGTACTGGCTGCCCTTTCAGAAGACCTGGGTTCAATTCTCAGTACCCACATGGCAGCTAATAACCATCCATAACTCTCTGGTTCCAGGGGATCTGATGCCCTCTTCTGACCTCCGCAGGCATTGCACAACATGGGTGCACTTAGCAGGCAATACACATACATAAAAATTATATATATATATATATATATACATACTATAGATGCTATAGCTAAAAAGAATTCATGAATTAGATCATTCTAAGAAATTTACATAAACACAAGCTCAGAAAATGAAAAATTAAACAATCAAGATACAGAGACTAGATTATGAGGCTACAAAAAGTGTTGAAGAGGAACTCAGGGGATAAGAGGTGGGGAAATGAGACTGAGGCAGACAAGCTAGGGAACAGCTTAGCAACTTGGGATTCCATTTGGTTTGGGCTATACACAAACTCCAAACAATGCACCCAGCAACCTCCTGGCAACCTAGGACCCCTTCTTGCATCAGGCTGCACTTAAACAATGGAAATAAATTACTCCCCTTTGCAATCAGTTAATAGGGCCTTGTTTCCATTCAAGCACATCCTGGACTACAGACAACAGTTTTGGGTGCATGATACAATAAAGCAAACTCTAAGTGAACTTTTAGGAAAAAAATCCCCTATTTATCATCTTATGCCTATTTATAATGGGGCTTGCATATGCTTAAAATCAGATACTTTATGAGATAGGACATGTGCAATAGAAAAAAAATGTTATATAAATTTAATCTGTCAAACAAGATAAAGAACCATCCATATTACAACCCTTAGCAATCACACTTTTTCTCTTGAAACCCACAAAAGGAAGATCAAACAATAACTGGGGCCTTGAGTGCCTTCACTCATGTGGACTGATGGCACTCGGCAGGATTCTTTCTTTCTCATCTGTACTTTCATTTTGTTTTGAATAAAGTTTCCTTGCTATTTTGCAAATGTGTGTGTGCTTATTCCAATGCTTTGGATAAGATGCCAAGAACCTAGAAACACCCAGCCCAGACCCTGACCACCTGTAACAAGACTAGGGAAATACAAGTAAATTGAAGTGATAATTGCTGAAAGTGTCTCCAGATCTCAGACAGACGTGAGAACTTAGATTAAAAGTGTGTCCTAGGGTCAAACAGAATCAATACATAAATCCAAATCTGAATGCACTGTAGTAAAAACTGCAGAAGAGCAAAGGAAAGACAAATGCCCAAGTCAGTGGAGAGCCAGTGTGGTAGTGCACACCTGTGGTTGGGGAGCTAAGGGAGGAAGAGCGGGAGGCGAAGGCCAGGCTGGGATAATACATGAGCTTGTCTCAAAAGTAAAAGTAAAGATAAAAATAAAGAAATTGTGGTTGTAGCTCAATGATAGAGGCCCAGCATTTACAAGACTGAGTTCAATGATCCCTGCAGTCCCCCCAAAAGCAAAAGCAAACCAAAATAAAAACAATAACCAAGATGTGAGGATATGGCTGCTAAGAAATGAATAGGTATGGTCTGATTTGGAAGGAAAGGAGAAAATTATTGTCAAATATGAGTCATAAAAATCTAAGCATGGTGGGGAGGTGGAGATGGCTCAGCAGTTAAGAGCATGTATTGCTTTTGCAGAGGACCGAGGTTTGGTTCTCAGCACACACATCAGGCATCTAACAGCAGCCTGTAACTCTACTTCCAGCGGATCTGCCGTCTTCTGGCCTCCAAGAACACCTGCATGCACATGGCACATACATGTATACATAAAAAAATCCAAGTACGGAAAAGAATGTAAAAGTAAGTCCAAATATATCAAATAATATATTACAAATGTAGTCATAATTACAGCGTACACATGAAAGATTAATCTGTCTTATTAAAAGGCTAGAAAAGAAGAGTTTGAGTATTAAACAAAAATTGGGTACTAAAATGAAAAATATTTTTTAAATACTATAATACTGAACTCGAATTTCATCTTTAGGAAAAAAATGCCAACAATCTACAGCCATGAAATGAAAAGAGAAGTGGATTCTTCCCTCCTAGCAAACAAGTACTGGCTTGAAAGTATTTGAACTGTAGCTATTACACATCATTCTGAGACTTCTAGGGCAGAGTGAGGCTTTTCCCTGGCTTCTGATTCGTGTCTGGTTGTGGTAAATCTACAAGTCATTAATATCTAATTTCAAGGTGCTTATTGTTACCCTCATCTTGATATGTAAAATAATAATTCTATGAATATTTACATATTTATACATTTTTCATCCAAAAAATAAATGCTAACTTTTTTCCACTGCTGGTGATTGAATGTAGACCCTCATAGATGGTGGGCAAGTGCTCTACCACTAAGCAACATCCCTAGTCCTAAGCAAATTTTTTAAAAAGGGGGGAAACTGCACCGTTTACAAGAAAAACTGAAAAAACTACACTTGAAAATCTTGTTAGACTTACGTTTTTCCATTCCATTCCACAATTTTTGTAAAGTTAAGATAATTGTCTTCTCCAGTTAGAAAAACATAGTCCCCATCATTAGTTCCATTTTTCTGAAAATAAGTGAACATGACAATTTAAAACATGATAAATCATAAATATTAAAAACACTTTTAAGATGCTACAATACTCAAATTAACTAAGGTGGTCCATTTTATTTTACCTTGTCTCAACTCAGGTGCCCACTTGTTTCATCAAATACCAGTTGCCATAGAGGCATTTTGCAGGGGAAATAAACACCCACAATTCATTATGTAAGGATTACCCTCAAGAATGTGAGTGTGTGGGATGAGGGCCTCATCCCATCACTCTTCAAAGCCTTAAAAGCAAAAGCTGAAACTTGCTAGAGAAGGAATTCTCCAGAAGACCACAATATAGAAAGTCTGTCTGAGCCACAGTTTCAGGAAAATCCCATAGGCACCCATTCCTACATAATAAAGTACTAGGTGCAAACAGTTGCTGAGTTATTTATAGTATTCCAGGCATTTGGTTCTAAAATTTTTGCATGAAACTCACAAACACTTGGATGGATGGATGTAAGTCTGGTAAGTTCAACGACGTAAAGAAAAACCACAAGCCCAAGCTACACAATGAAATTGTATCTGAGAAAAGCTGAGATACTTAAGAAAGGTTCATTGGTCAGATAGACTAAAGCCACTAGGACCCAGAGGGCCTAGCGGGAACCTTTCTATCTCTCGGTAGGGAGGCTGTCCTGAAATTATTCCTAGGAGAAAGGTCTAGTAACACTTTAACAAGAATGTGTTTTCTTGGGTCTTTGGAAGCCATGTTCCTGTGAAGCAGGATATCTGGGGGACATGTATTGGGGCTGCTCCCCCAAAATGAAGGGTATAGTGTTGGTGAGATTTGACTAGACTCCTTCTTTTACAGAAACAGTATTTACAAGTTGCTTATAATTTTGTTCAAACAACCCTAAGTTTCATAAACTCTTGAGGCAGAGGTGCAGAAGGCTTGCCCTCTAACAACAGAAACTGAATGCTAAGATGTTGCAGAGTGAGACCTTGGTCAGTCCCACATGGAAGTAATTACAACCTTAAACATGGGCAAACTTCTCTCAATCCTATACCCTACTCCTAACGTAATGATTTCTTCCTGAGGCTAGTTTTTTTCTACTATCAACTTTCTAACTACCCATTTTACTGCAGTTAGTTTTCCTCCTGCCAAGATCACCTTCTAATTTTTCACATACTCTTTAAAACACCTAGAACTTCAGGCAATTTTGGTCTTAGCCTAAAAGAAAGCCAGAGTTAAGACGCAATCTCAGTGGGGTGCTTTCTTCCCTGTGAGCCAAACAGTTCTAGAAGGAAAACTTACCCCATAGAACAGGCCAAAGTTGGAAGAGATATCAGGTCTGAAAATATGGATGAGGGACAGGATCTCATCTTTGTAGCCCCAGAGTAATTCATGAACCGTGTGAGTCACAAAGAGCTTCTGCTGATAGGCTTTCAGCATAGCCTCAATGATCTCCTTCAGCAGGGGTAGTTGGGCCAGTTCCACCACAGTCTGCAGAGCAGAGACAGGTTAACATACGCACTGCCCTTCTAAAGCACTACTCAGCTCTCTCAGCAGCAGAACTGGCTCGAAACTGAGATGTAAATACTAGGACCCAGTGGAGAAAAAAATCAACCAGTGAGCTCCTCATTGGCTGAGTGTGGACTAAGAGTTCAGCTACTGCCCTTTCTCCATTCTCTGTCTGTCTCTGTCTTTCTCTGTCTCTGTCTCTCTGTCTCTGTCTCTGTGAGGGTGTGTGTGTGTGTATCCTGGAGATTGAACCCATGGCTTTGTATGTGTTAGGCAAGTACCACTGAGCTCTATCCTAAGCCCTTTCCTTTTTTTCCCCCCTTTGTGTAAATTTTGAGACACTGAACTGCCCAGGCTAACTTTGAACTCACTCTGTAGCCCAATCTGAACTTGAACTTTTTGATTTCTCTTGAGCTTGAACTTTTTGATTCCTCCTGTTTCATCCTCGAGTAGCTGGGATTACAGGCCTGTACCACCAGGCAGGTCTCATGTTACCTGTTCTAAATGTGAGTTTAGCTTCCTCATGTGCAGGCCCTGAATTATCCTAACGTCACAGAAGGTCTTGTGAATACACAGGGACCTTGGGCTACAAGGTGGTTTTACCTCCCTCTGGAGCAGGGACTGGTGGCTGAGGATTTACACTCTATACCTTTGGCATCAGAGGAGGACAAGGTTCCAGATCTGTACTCTACTAGGTCCTGAGTCTTCCGTCAGTGTTAAGCTGCTGTCACCTAGGAGTTAGGGTGGTGGAAGCCTTGGAAGATGTTCATGTAGGTGATTAAGGAAGTTCCTTGGAGCTTGGTATGGTGGCACACACTTTTAATCCCAGCACTTGGAAGGCAGAGGCACGTGGATCTCTGTGAGATTGAGGCCAGTTAGGCCTACATGAGCTCTAGGCCAGACGGAGCTACAGGGAGACCCTATCTCAAAAAAAAAAAAAAAAAAAAAAAAAGGAAGTTCCCTGGCTCTCAGTATGGTATAGGTGTAGTACCAGGTGTTATCATAAAATGGAATTGTCATTGTAAACAGGGACCAAGAAAATCAGTGTGCTCTAATTAACAGCCCAGTCTCTGCTATCTGAAGGGGGAGAGAAAAGTCAAATTACATGTCTTGAAAATTTAAAACACAAGATAAAAATCTAAGTTAAGATGTGGTATGCAAATTCTATTAGGATTTCTAAGACAAAACGAAGAAGAGGAAGAAGAGGAGGAGGAGGAGGGGGAGGAGGAAGAAAAAAATATATATATATGTCTTTTTTGAGACAGGGTCTCCCTGTAGCCGCAGCTGGCCTGGATTCGCTATGGAGACCAGGCTGGCCTCAAACTCACAGAGATCCACCTGCCTCTGCCTCCCGAGTGCTGGGACTAAAGGCATGCACCACCATGCCTGGCAGAAAATATGTTTTCAGTTTCCAGGTAACAAAAATCCTGATCAAAAAGGAAAAATCCCAGAAACCAAACCTTTTGAAATGACTTTGTTTTATAGACCTCAGGAAAAAAGTCTATGTATATATGTTTAATAAAAGTTCTTATTAGTAAAAGTCTTGCCAAGTGCGGTGGCACATGCCTACAATATTCATGAGACACAGGCAGGAGGATGTAGGTTAAAGGATAAGTGGTCTACATACAAATTAGCAAGAGTTTTTGTATATGTCCATATTTTTCCTGTGTGTGTGTGTGTGTGTGTGTGTGTGTGTGTGTGTGTGTGTGTGTGTGTGTGTAGCTGGGGCTCAAACTCAGGGGCTCATCAAGCTAGGCAAGAGCGCTACCACTGAGCCACCACCCTCACTCTATATATGTATATATATTTTTTTTTTTTACTTTTTAATGCATTTGTTAATTCTTCAAGAACTTTTTTTTTATACAATTAAAGATACAATTTTAACAATATGCAAAATATTACAGTAATTCAGATTTTTTGGCATAAT